CTGCATGTCCAATCCACTCCAGTCCTTTCCCTGCAGGCTGTCTGATCCAAGCTGTCCAGTAGCTGACCACAGAATAAGAGACCTGACAGGTGATGGTCAGATGTTGACCTGGCTGCACAGTCACAAAGGCTGGCTGTGTCAGCTGTTCACACTTCACACCTGTGGAGACAAACATGTTGAACATAGAACCAGTGTAATAACAGTGAACAGTCAGAGTGCTGTGGTCATACTGTCAGTGTCTCTGCCTCAGTGAGACTCACAGGATCCAGCAGCCAGCAGCAGCAGCACAGCTACAGAGAACATGGTTGGTGCTGAAGGTGATCTGATGGGAGCTTCTCTTCTTCTGCTGACAGCAGGGTATCACGTCTTTATAGCAGACATGGGGAAGTTCACTTTGCATAGAGAAAGACACTGTGAGGCTTTAAAAGGAGGACGGGCTGATGTGTGACAAGTAGTCATAGACTCAAAATGTGTTATAATCATTTATGGAACTTTATTCTGATTTGGAAACTGGCTCTAAGTGATTAAATCTGAAGATGAACATTCATGCTCAAAAATTTAAACATCTTTTAGAATCCTGGTGTATTTGGAAAACTTTGAAAAGTTTTTTTTTGAGCTAATCAACTTTTCAAAGCAGAATTTATATTTCATTTATATTTAGGTTGGAGGGAAATTTTACATTTGTAAGCTTGTACATTTTATTATTTGATACAAAAATGTTGACAAGTAGCAGTTGGTCATGAGTGAGTGGATAAAGAAAAATGAAAGAAATATGTAATTTAAGAAGATTTTGATTAAATGAATGACACTGCTGCCTTTGGTCTCTTCTTTTATAATGGAACAAGTCAGTGTGTATGTGTGTGTGTGTACATTACAGGAATGAAAGAGAAAACAATTCTTTTGAGTTATGTTTATTATATAGTTTGGACTGTACATCACGGTTTAGACAAATAAGGAAATAATCACCAATAATAGGAGTGAAAATGACAAAGTTTTGGTTTGTCAAATATTTATGTAAATGTAAGTGGAACAAACTTTTTCAACAATATATTTTTTAAAGCTGTAAAAATAGATTTTTCAGGACTGTTTTAGATTTTGTTTATTAAAACATATCTTTAATGTTGTTTGATCAATTTGTACATAGAATTTATTTCTATTAAATCCATGAAGACAGGTAGTTTTACTATAAATATAGAAATATTAATCATTGGTATTATTTCAAAACTGAAATAGACATTTTACTTCTGCTATAGACACTGCCGCCAAAAAGAGCAAACAAAGAAGAACTTCTTAAATAAAAAATAAACAGTTTTCTCCATTTTAATTCTTGACTCTTTCAGCTGCAGCTAAAGTCAGTAGAGGAAGTAGTTCTTGTATGACTCTCCTATTACTGTCTCTCACTGTGTGTCTGACACAGTAATACACTGCTGTGTCCTCGGTCTTCAGACTGTTCATCTGTAGATAAACTTTAGGTTAAACATTTAGAAACAACATTTAACTGCTCAATTACTGGTTGTTTATCTGTCACTAATATTTTTCCGAACCATTCAGTGAAATCAATCAACATAAATGAACATTTTTATCAACTCAACAAGAACGACTGTCTTTATTGATGCTCACATTTGGAATGTGTGTGGTTCAGTCATATGTGTTTGTGGGTATTTGTGCAGGTCTGTCAGTGGTTTGTATCACAGTGGGGTATCGTACACAGTAATACACAGCTGTGTCCTCAGGCTGCAGATTCTGCCCTTTTATAGTCACTGTTCTGGCAAATGTGTCTCTGCTGTAGCTGAACTTGTTCATTTTTATAAAAGTTACCACCACCCCATTGTTCGAAAATCCAGTCCATTGGTTTT